GCCGTCCCACACATCGAGCCTCTAGCTCCTACTTGATGCCCAACGCTAGCCCGAAGGCGTTGCGCTGTCCATAGAGTTCCCAAACACGTATGGATACCTAGGACACTCCTTTGAGTTATCCAGGCAGGCCCTTGAGGTCGCCCCCAAGGTAGCTCGTTCGATACGGCTTGGTGGCAGCACGTATGGGGGAGGCAGGTCAGAGCTTTCATCACCTATATCCCCCTTATATATGTTTAAAATTAAAAAGCTCAAATTGCCCGAGTAGACAGATCTACGTCAGACAATCAGAAGATCCTTTTCTCACCAGTTCTTTGCCGAAGTCACAACCCCAATATGCGGGTTGTGACAAGTGGCTTCATTAACTTCTGTTCTTAATTCATTCCTTTTTAAATATTTTTTTCTCCTCATAAGTTTGTGTTTAATAAATTAACAAATTGAACCAAAAAAATTACTCCTAATAAGTTTGAACATTTGGTCCAACTGAACTTTAAAAGTTCGTCAATAAAGTGATAATTATTGAAAGTCATATAAGGAGACAGCAAGACAGTTACCCTCTGGCGGATTTATAGCACAAATTATGAGGCACGTGAACTCATGGTCTTATCGTTAAATTAGATATTTTATGTATATATTTTCTAAAATTAGTCTAATATTTATCTATTGGTACCCATGTCCAAAAAGATTGAATGATGCACTTGATTGAATATTATGTTATTTACCCTAAGAAACATGGATCAATTCTCACTTAATAAATTTTTTTTCTATTTTTTTTAGTAGTGTAACTCATGTTCAAGAAATTATAGATCCGTCTCTGCCTCGATCAGTGTGTTTGTCTCTTGAACAATTTCAGTTTCGAGTATAGTAATAATAAAATGTTCATCAAATAAGGTAAAACAGGTGCTTCATTTTCTGACTATTACTGGAGCTAGCATTCTTAAAATTTTTGTTTTGAGATTTTGTGGTAAGAAGCCTAGTCGAGACCGTTTCAATTGACATCGTTCTGTCTTCTAATGCTGGTCCCAGAATGTACCCTTCTTTAGCATTAGTTTTTTCTGAACTATATTAGTAGGTTCCAATATCAACTTCACTACAAAAAACATTACAATTGTCTTAATGTTACTGCATGGTTATGTTGATGTGATGTGTACGCTGGCCCAAAACTTATTACACTATGATGTCCTTTCTATAATTTCCCTTTTTTAATGGACCACTAATTATTTGGTTTCCAGATTTATTCATTTTTTCTTTTGTTTTCCTTTTTGGTTTTTTGTCGAAGTACCCTTCATCTTCGTGTGCACCATTGTTAGTATATAGTCAAGAATCATGATTCTTTGATATCCATGCGGTTACTAAGTGAATGTGATTGAAATCTTTTTTGGTAAGAGGGAAACCGCGGCCGCTACAATTTCTGTCACAGCATCTGCCCTTCGGGTGAGCTCTTTGTGCGCATTGGGTAAACATCCCCCTGTGTAATAGTCTGCAAACCACACAGGGGTTGTAAACCGCACTAGGCAAGCCCTGTGCGACAGGCTCAACCCAGAAGGCATTGAGGGGGGAATCGATCTCAGGTCATCCGTATGGATAACCGCCCTCCAAACTAACTGGGCAACCCCGAAGGGTTAATGTGATTGAAATCTTGTTATTTTCCAAACTGCCCCTAGATGTGGTTGGCACACAGCTAATATCATTTGCCAGGCGAACCCATATCTCATACATTTAACTATTTAGACAAACACTGAGAGAAAAATAAGTGCAGGTCTAAAGGTATTATTAATAATTAAAGACGAAAAGTTATCAACCAATACCTTAGTCAATTGATGAAAAGACCAACAATCACTCAAATAATAAAACTCTAGCTCAAACCCAACATCAAGACCATGGAGCATCTAACAGAGTAACATGAGTTTAACCGATGGACATGCAAACCCTACAGAGATGAAAATAACTAAAACAAACTAGATAAGACTGAAATGAATGCCTCCGCGAACAAGTGGCTCACCTCAACAATAAAATATGCTCGAACAAATTCGTCAGCCACTAGCTATATCTTCAGCAACAATATCTGCATAGACATGCAGGTAAGGAGTAAGTTATACGTAAATATAATCCAGTAAGATCCTCGACTCGTCACTTTGAATACCTCTAGAACAAGTGTTAGAAAATATAAATACACCACAACAAGAACAATATAATAAATACAATAATACAATAACACAATATATAGGTATCAATAGAGTTAATAATAATTAACTAACAAGAACACACATATCTCAACCTACTACACACTAACAGCTTATCATAACTGCAGTGAAAGAAATTAACCAATACCTCTATAAGTCCACAACGGTACCACAATACCTCAAATATGTAACAGAGCATACACAATACTCACTGAAGCATACATAATGCCTCAAATATATCAAGAAGCATACACAATGCTCGAGTGATATATGATATTTAGCTTAAAGTATATATATTTATATGTATATCGCCTCATGTTTTACTTTTATTTCATGGATTTAGGATGTAAAATGTGTTGATTTATATTAATTTGAGGTGTTTTAATGTGTAGGAATGATCCGGGAGCAATTGGGGGCGAAAGGTGTGAGATTAGAGCCAAAACAGACGAAAAAACAAAAAAGAGAATTTCCAGCGCCACAGCCAACGCCTAGCGCTACCTGTGGCGCCAGAAACAGTGTGCTCCAATTAACAGCGCCTAGCGCTGGGCTAAGCACTGGTGGCATGAATCTTGTTCAATTTTGCCCGGGACAAGGTTATTTCGGCCCTAGACCTGCCCAACACGTATAAAAGCAAGACTAAGCTTTTTTTTTAGGGGGGGGAGGACAGACGCCACTTTGAAGGGGGAATACACACGAGAAACATCTCGGAGTGAAGATATCTCAATTTTCTTCATCTTTTCTTAGTATTTTCAATTATCCAAACACTTATGAAATTGTTTGCTATTATCATGAGTGGCTAAACCCCATAGTTCTGGGGTTGTAATTTAGCCATGAATATTATTGTTTAACGTTGACTTAACCTTGATTATAATTCACTAATATATGGTTATTTCTTCAATTCTGTGACCAATTGCATAATTGTCTAGCCAGCAGTTAGGTTCTATTTACTATATATGCTATGCTTGGGAAAGTCATGTTTAGATTAGAGAAGAATTGAAGAGAGCGTGATCTTAACTCTTAGGGGGCGGATTTGTAGTTAGGATATAAATATACCTACTCACCGGGCTTAATTTAATATCGTAATCTTAATGCATTCTTGATAGATTGATTCCATAGGAATATAGGCATTAATCTATTTTGAATAGGCGAGTAGTACCTCGGGAGAAGGCTATGAGAGCAATTATCGATTAATTAGCAACCATGAGTAAATTGTATGAAAAGGAGAGTTAACTTGAACACAATAGGATTGGTGAATCGATCACAACCCTGGAATATTTGTCTCTACTGAATACACAACAACCATTTTACTGCTTGATAATTTAGTTACTATTTAGAAGTATAATTTAATATAATCACATTCTTGAACTCGAATTTTGCTTGACTGAATAACAATCTTGGTGAATCTAGTGGGTAGTTGGTATAAGTCTATGTGGGTTCGACACTCGACTTATCATTTTATTACTTGTACGACCATGTATACTTGCATGTGCATTTGGGAGAAACAAGTTTTTGGCGTCGTTGCCGGGTATTTGAATATTGACTACTTTCTAGTTTTTGCTTTCTTTGTTTATTTCGTCAAGTTCACCGTTACTTGATTATTACTCTGATCTCAGGAACTTTGATTGAATGCGCAGGGTTAGAAGCTAGGACCGACTTCAAGGCTTTGACCCCGAACTTGAGAGAACATTTCATAGAAGGTTGAGGGAAGCAAGGGACACGAATAATATTCAGGCACTTGTTCAATTTCCTGTGAACATGGCAGAGGAACATATGGCTGTTCAGGAGGTGGCAATGCCCAGCATTGCTACTGTCACCTCAAGCATAGTGAAGCCCAGAATCACTGGGAATTTTGAGCTGAAACAGAGCATGATCCAGCTACTTCATGCGAATGGGCAGTTTATGGGTCTTCCACATGAGGATCCACAACAGCATATCTTGAACTTCTTGGAGATTATTGATACTTATATCACTAACGTTGTCACTCCAGACTATGTGAGGCTCGCACTTTTTCCATTCTCTCTGTTGGGCGAAGCAAAGCGATGGCTGAAGGCAGAACCAGCTAATTCTATTACATCATGGAATGATTTGGCAAGGAAATTTCTGGCAAGGTTCTTCCCTTCAGGCAAAACTGCAAAGATCAGAAGTGAGATGGTTGCCTTCAAACAGAAAGCGGGAGAGTCTTTATACTCAACTTGGGAGAGGTTCAAGGGGCTACTCAAAGACTGTCCTCATCACAATCAGACAAACGAAGTGTTAGCTCACACTTTCATAGAAGGGCTACATCCTGAAACAAAAATTATGGTAGATGCTGCAGCTGGAGGTCAAGTATTGGAGAAACGCTTTGACGAGATATATGCATTATTGAACAAATTCTCCAAAAGCAATCCGGATTGGCAAGGAGAAATGGGCAGACACACGGTGCAAAAATCTGCAGAGGTTCTCGAGTTATATGTCGTCTCAGCATTATCAGCACAGATTTCTACATTGACCAACCAAATCAGTTAGATGACCATGGTTATTAACAAGCAACAAGCTCAACCAGTGCAACAGGTTCAAGTGTTTTGTGAAGTATGTGGAGAGGGTCACACGAGTGACTTATGCCCAGTTAATCCAGAGTCTGCATGCTTTGTGGGTAATGCAAATAGGAGCCAGACGAGCCAACATGGGAACACTTACAATCCCAACTGGAGGAACCACCCAAACTTCTCTTGGGGTGGAAATCAAGGTGCTCAAAATCAATACCGATCACAAGCACCTCAACGACAATATAAACCACCTCAGACTGAACAACAGACAATCTCAACAAGTCACATTGAGGAAATGATGAAGAAATTGATGGCTGACCAGCAGCCCCACACCGCAGAGATGATAAAGAAAGTGATGGTTGACCAGCAGGCCCAAGCCACAGCAATGAGAAATCTGGAGCGCCAAGTGGGACAACTGGCTAGTGCCCAAAATACTAGACCAGTTGGAGCTCTCCCAAGTGACACTGTAGCTAATCCTAAGGCATCCATTAATGTCGTGTCATTGAGGAATGGGAGACAATTTGAAGAAGTCCAGTCGAAAAAGAGAAAACATGTGACTTTTAATGAGAGGCCAGTCACTATAGAGTCAGAATCAAAAAAATCAAAGGAATGTGAGAAGCCAGCTGAAGAGGCGGTGGCTAAGCAACCTTCACAGTTGGTTGCGAGGCCACCACCTCCGTTCCCTCAAAGATTCCAGAAGGTGAAGGATAATGCCGCGTATAAAAAGTTTCTTGATATTTTGAAGCAGGTGCAAATTAATATTCCTTTGGTAGATATCTTGCAAGAAGTACCCAAATATGCAAAATACATCAAGGACATAGTGGCAAATACAAGAAGATTGGCCGAGTTCGAGACTGTGGCACTCACTGAGGAATGCAGCTCAAGAATTCAAAGCAAGATACCTCATAAATTGAAGGATCCGGGTAGTTTCACTATCCAAATCTCAATTGGTAAGCGTACAGTCGGGCGAGCCTTATGTGATCTTGGAGCGAGCATTAATTTGATGCTGCTATCTGAGTTTAGACAGTTGGGGTTGGGTGAGCCACGCCCAACAACGGTAATCTTACAGTTGGTTGATCGCTCCCTTGCTCATCTTGAAGGAGTGATTGAAGATGTGTTAGTTCAAGTGGGTTCTTTCATATTCCCTGCTGATTTCATTATCTTGGACTACGAGCCTGATCAGGAAGTCCCATTAATTTTAGGGCATCCATTTTTAGCCACGGACCGAGCTATTATTGATGTTTGCGAAGGAAAGATTACGATGAGAGTAGGCGATCGAGTGGAGGTATTCAATGTATATAAAGCACTCAGATTGTCAGCCCACTATGAAGAGATGTCCATGATTTCTGTGGTGGAAAGTGATGTTACATCATTAGTGCCTTATAGGAGTCCTATAGATCCTCTTGAACGAGCTTTGATTGGGGATGAAGAAGACAGTGAAGATGAAATGATGGAAGAAATTGAGAAAGAACTTGATATGTCCTGCAGTTATGTCCATGGGTTTGGAAAATTTGAGGAGTTGGACAGGCCTATTACTCTGACCCCGCCTAAGCCATCTATTGAAGAAGCTCCAAAGCTAGAACTTAAGCCCCTACCAGTGCATCTGCGCTATACTTATTTGGGGAATTCTGAGACATTGCCCGTGATTATCTCATCCAACTTGACTAACACACAAGAAGAAAAATTGTTCAGAGTCCTTCGCGAGCATAAAAAGCTATTGGGTGGACAATTGCTGGCATCAATGGAATCTGTCCATCATTTTGCATGCATAAAATCTTCTTGGAAGATGGACACTGCCCTAGTGTTGAGCAGCAAAGGAGGTTAAATCCCATTATGAAAGAAGTCGTGAAGAAGGAAGTAATCAAGTTGCTCGATACAGGTATCATCTTTCTTATTTCTAACAGCAACTGGGTAAGCCCAGTTCAATGTGTGCACAAAAAGTGGGGGATGACTGTAATTAAGAATGAGAAAAATGAGCTAATTCCTACTCGCACTGTAACGGGGTAGAGAGTCTGCATTGATTATAGAAGGCTCAACAAAGAAACCCGCAAGGACCATTTTCCACTTCCATTCATTGACCAAATATTGGACAGATTAGCAAGGTATGAATATTATTGCTTCCTTGATGGTTATTCGGGATACAATCAGATTGTCATATGCCCAGAGGACCAGGAGAAGACCACTTTTACTTGTCCTTATGGCACTTTCGCCTTCAAGCGAATGCCGTTTGGTCTTTGTAATGCACCGGCTACGTTCCAGAGATGCATGATGACTATTTTCACCGATATGGTGGAAAGATTTGTGAAAGTTTTTATGGATGATTTTTCAGTCTTTGGGTCTTCTTATGATGATTGTTTGAAGAATTTGAGCAAGGTATTAACCCGTTGTGAAGAAATAAATCTGGTATTGAATTGGAAGAAGTGTCACTTTATGGTGCAGGAAGGCATCGTTTTGGGTCACAGAGTGTCTAGGAGCGGCATCAAAGTTGATAAGGCGAAGGTGGAGGCGGTTGAAAAATTACCTCCACCTATTTCTGTGAAAGGTGTCCGGAGTTTCTTGGGACACGCGGGATTCTATCAACGCTTTATTAAAGATTTTTCTAAAATTACTACTCCTTTGTGGAGGTTGCTTGAAAAAGATATAACTTTCAATTTTGATGATGCCTGCCTTAAAGAATTTGAATAACTCAAAAAGAAATTGGTGGTTGCTCCCATTATTGTGGCACCAGATTTGTCCTTACCATTTGAACTTATGTATGATGCGAGTGACCATACTATTGGGGAAGTGCTAGGCCAGAGGAAAGACAATGTGTTTTATTCCATCTATTATGCGAGTAAGACTCTTGATGGCGCACAGCTGAATTACACCACCACTGAGAAGGAGTTGTTAGTTGTTATGTGGGCCTTTGAGAAATTTCGGGCATACTTGGTGGGAACAAAAGTCATAGTCCATACCGATCATGTAGCAATCAGGTATTTATTTACGAAAAAAGAATCCAAGGCTAGATTGATGCGCTGGGTTTTGTTGCGGGAATTTGATGTAGAAATACGAGATCGAAAGGGCACAGAGAACCAAGTAGCTGACCATCTATCAAGACTGGAAAATCGCGACCACGTGGAGGAGGGTGGCCAAATTAAAGAAGTATTTTCTGATGAGAAACTTTTTTCTATCACCCAAGACCCTCCCCCATGGTATGCAGACTATGTGAATTATCTTGTGAGTGGGGTACTTCCTCCTGAAATTGAATCTGAAACTAGAAAGAGGTTTTTACATGATGTGAACTTCTACTATTGGGATGAACCATATTTGTACAAACAATGTGCTGATCAGTTAATGAGGAGATGCATTCCAGAAAAGGAGGCAGAATTAGTATTGTATGATTGTCATGCATCACCTTATGGGGGCCATCATGGAGGAGATAGAACGGCTGCAAAGGTATTACAATCTGGTTTCTTCTGACCAACTCTATTTAAGATTGCCAATGCATTTATTAAGAAGTGTGACCAATGTCAGAGAACAGGAAAAATCACAAGGAGACATGAGATGCCTTTGAAAAACATCCTGGAGGTTGAGATTTTTGATGTATGGGGGATAGATTTTATGGGACCATTCCCATTATCCAGAGGAAACAAATACATTTTGCTAGCAGTTGACTACGTGTCAAAATGGGTAGAGGCGATCGCATTGCCAACAAATGATGCCATGGTGGTAGCTGCGTTTGTGAAAAAGAACATATTTTCGAGATTTGGGACTCCACATGCATTGATAAGTGATAAAGGGACGCATTTTTGCAATCGATTGTTGAATAACCTTCTAGCTAAATATGGGGTCTGCCATAGAGTTGCGACAACGTATCATCCTCAAACGAGTGGACAAGATGAGGTATCGAACAGAGCAATAAAGCAAATTTTAGAGAAGGCGGTGAGTGTGATAGGAAGGATTGGGCTGCGAAGTTAGATGATGCCTTGTGGGCATATAAAACTGCATACAAAATGCCAATTGTGTTGTCGCCATACAAGCTTGTTTATGGAAAGTCATGTCACTTGCATGTTGAACTTCAACACAAAGAATACTAGGCCATTAAAAAGTTGAATATGGACCTTGACGCCACGAGTGAGAAAAAACTCCTGCAGTTGAATGAATTAGATGAGTTCAGGTTGTACTCTTATGAAAATGCTAAGATATATAAAGAGAATAATAAAAGATGGCATGACAAGTGTATTAAGCCACGTCACTTTGAGCCAGGACAACAGGTATTATTGTTCAATTCGAGACTAAGGCTATTTTCTGAGAAGTTAAAATCGAGATGGTCAAGCCCTTTTGAGGTGGTGTTTCACTCCTTATGGTGCAGTTGAGCTGCGAGCTTTAAATGGTGAAAGAAAATTTATGGTGAATGGACAAATAGTCAAGCACTATTGGGGAGGAATTATTGATCGTGAGAAGACCAAAGTTGTACTCGCTGATGAGTAAGCGAGGCCATGCGTCGTGTCGCGACGTTAAATCAGACGCTTGTTGGGAGGCAACCCAATTTTTATTGCTTTCATGGTTTAGCTTCTTAATTTTTTGTTAGAGTAGAGTAAAGTTGAATTTTCTTTGTAGGCATAGAAATTATAAGTAGAAGGGTGTAGGACATGTAAATTGGATATATAAAAGGCTCGGGGATTGGGATGTTATATTCAAAAAAAAAATCTCGAAAACAGCGCCTAGCGCTGCGTGGGGCGCTACAGGCAGAATGTGCAAGACCCCCCAGCGCCAGGCATAGCGCTGAGTACTCGGCTGAGGGGTATCTAGGTATATTTTTTATTATTATTATTTTATTTATTTTCATTTTTGTTTACTAAATAACCCAAACCCATTTAACCCAACCCAAATACCCATCTACACTAACATTATAACTCGTCTTACTATCCATACCCATCCCCAGCTCAACTTAAATCATAATCCAATTAAACCCAAAAACCCAAATTCAAAATCAGAAAAATAAAAAAACAAATGCTCTCTCTCTCTCTCTGTTCTGCCGTGAATGTTTCTTCTCTTTTCTCAAGTTTTCTCAAGTTTGTCTCTTGCTATCACCCTAAACTGTACAAGTTGTTCTTCCTCCTCTTCTTCTTTGTGTGTTTTAATTGATAGATAACAATGTACATCCCATCTCTCAAGTGCCCTACTCCTCAAATTTTCCCCTATGTAGTTCTTAAGAAATTTTTATGGTGGGTGGTCCACACTGGTCGAAAATTATTTATTTGTCTTGTATATGGAGTAGTAAACTAAAATTCCCTCTACTTCATTGAAATCTGGGAGGGCCAACATGTTCCACCATTGTTGAGATAGAATGCGCACACTTTATGCTCACAAGGTGTTTGTTAAAATGCTTGAATGAAGATTTTGGTGTACCGGTGAAGTCTGAGTAACCGAGTATATTTGTGTATGAATTTGGGCTATGTGTGGGATGTGTGGGGATGATTTTACATGCTAGAGAGCTTGGCTTCGATGCAAATATGTTCTTACACCATGTATCTTATATAATGTATGTTGTACAATTATGTAGATTTAGCTAATTAAGTGTAGTGTAGTAGTGGTAAGAAGGGAAGTAACATATGCCTCTTGCTTACATTAAGGTGAATTCACTAAGCCATGATCAATCACTTGTGTGTGTGGAATTGATTAGTGCCTTTTAACTATTGTGTGGCATGGGGAAGTCTTGAGTACCCATAGTTTTGGAGTGCAACACTTGAGCATTTTAGACCAAAGTTGTGAAGTATTGTACATTGCGCCTTCGGTTGTAAGTGTGGGGTCATTTATGACTTGCGCGACAACTTTAGGCATATTTTTTGATGAGTTCTCACATTCATGCTTATTTGTGTGCAGGATATTATGGCTCGTGATGGTACTAGAAAAGACAAGGGAATAGGAAAGTCCTCCACCACTGCCCCAGCGCCCAAAAAACGCAAGCAGGGAGAAGGCTCTTCGCGGCAAGCAAAAGGAAAACAGGTTGCTAAGGCATCACAGCAGGCTCCATTTCCAACAAGGCCTCTGTTGAAACTAGTATATGATGCAACTATTGCATGGCACAAGGATTTCGTGCCATATGGACGGTATGTCTCCGAGATGGGGATAAATGTCAAAGCTTTGGAGCGAAACTTCCCGGATGTGCTTGGCCGATTACGCGCATTAAATATGGACAAACTCCTAGAATGCCCTGGGCATATAAATTTGAGCATGGTTCGGGAGTTGTACACCAACTGGGATTATAAATCGTCTGTGTCATATGTACGTGGGAAGGACGTGCCATTGGATAGGAAGGCCTTATGTAAGTTTTTAGGGGTTGAGAATGTTGACCCGAGGAGACTCCAGAAATTTGTCAGAAGCCCAAAATACACATTGATATATCACACTCTTTGTGGCATAGATTCAAATGCCAAGTGGACCAGGAAGCAAGGCGAGATTCACAATCACATGGTTCGCTCTGACTTTAATAAGACTGCCAAAGTGTGGCAGAATTTTGTGCAAGCCAGACTCATGCCAGTGGAACACAGCAGCGACTCCACTCGAGCTAGAGTATGTGTCATATTCTTTTTTATGATTGGCAAACCCATTAATCTGGGTGAGATTATGCTCGGTGAGATGGCTCACACGATATTTGAGCGGCAGATTAAGAGGTTCTTCTTCGGCAACTTACTCACATAATACATGCTCTCCCGGGAGGTGCCGGAATATCCAGGATATGATGAGGTAGTGGAGGCACCTACAGGGTTATTGAACATCGCATCATTGTGGGAGACGTCGTCTAAGCTCACTCCGGCAACAAGGAACTAACGAGATGAGAAC